CCCCCGCCTCTCGGTGGAATCCTTACTCAAGTACCCGAATGGCGCCTAGCCGATCCGAGCCGACGGAGACCTTGGACGCAAACAAGACGGTTTCTCCGTTCCACAAATTCTCTTTGCAATTGGTAGCTACGCTGGCGTGATAAGTGTCTCGATGTTTGTCTTTCTCGAACCATGGAAGACTAGCCTTAACGGAAAGCTGTGGCAAGCCTTTGATAGAGTTCATCTTGACCGACGCGTCCAATGCAAAAGGGTTATCTGAATATCATCACTTCGTCTACCCTCTTAGTGTCCCCTTATTTCATTCACAGTGACGTAATTACTCCGTGAGCCAGTGGTACGTCGGCGATAGTGGTGGCATTCAGTGCTTACATTTGTTGTAGAAGATTTTCGACCAATTCACGTTTAGGCTCGGCTGACCCTTGCTGAAAGAGGCTCCTGCAGTGATGCTCTTATCCTGATACTTAGGATTTAACCTGATTTGCGCGTTCAAATTTGAGCCCTTCTTAATAAAGATCGGCAGTCTACGAAGCCAACACTTCTCGTCAGTCTTCTTCTCAATGAACAATTCCATATCCTTGATTAAACCAGTATTGACAAGTTCCTGAAATGACATCACCAATTATACGGGACAACCGATGGTGTGATTCGTACATTACGGCAGTTGACTATCTGGTCGAGTTCCATTTCATCACCAAAGCGTTGGCGAATCCACTCGTCAGTCATCTGCGACCAATTTATTTTCATTTTAATTCTGGCTGCTAATTCGGTCTATATGGGCAAATTCTATGGGGTCAAAGTCATCTGTCTCTTGAAGGCCTCCTCCACCGGCCAACGGTTCTTCCACGCGCTGCAACCTATTGCTTGCCGTCGGAGACACTCCGGCTGGCGTCACCATCCCGCCAGCCGGAGTGACCATAGGAGAGGTGGTGGATGCACTGCCCGATGAAAGCCCCGAAGAAAGGACCTGGAACACATCCGGATGTCGCATGAGCTGCTCATTGGCAACGCGGAGGTCCTCATCTCGAATTACCCTCAACACCCGAATAAGGTCTTCCGTGATGGTGTCTACGGACCGACCTCGAATCGGACGTGTCTCGGGTACAAAGTCCTCCTCGGCAGATGCCACAACGTCGTCACTGTACGACGCGATCAAGTCGTTGTACTCTTGCTCCACAGAGGTTGTCTGCGGCGGGGCCGGCGTCGTCAGGTATGCTGGAGTAATTGAACCAATCAGCTAAAAGAGCAACCTGCTCGTAGGGAGAG